GCATGTGTGCTACTGTGATGTGTGCAAGCTTCATGCATCGCTGAAGCGTGGGTATCACGCCATGCCTCTGTGTGTGTGCCTCCTCAGACACACCTGCTCCTGACGCCTCAGAGAAAAAGCTTGGCTGTGGTTAATCACACGAACAAAGCCAGAATATTATATTACAAAAAGAAGGCATGTATGTGCTACTCATACTCTTTATTTTTTACTCCTTTTATAGTCAATCATCTTCTTTTATTCAGTGAGGTTGAATTAGAGTTTTTTGCCATGTTGCCCTGGAAACAATATAACTTGGTTGCATTGAGATACTTTTAGACAAGGACAGACAAGTGTTAGATGAGTCAATTATACAAAGAGAAATTTGTGTTGTATAGTTTAAATAAACTTGACAGACCCTTTTTTTGCTCGGACTGGCCTTGGCAGGGGGTGGTAAACCTTAAATGTGACTGGTACATTATTCAGACACAGTGTATGCTCTCTGCTTGAGCATAACAACATGATGAAAGAAGTGGAGAGAGTGGAGTGATGGAGAGTTAGAAAAAAAAAACCAGCTTGACTCTCCACTTACTTACTGCAAATTCTTAATAGCTACATGTTTTATAGGAACTAAACTGAGGCAGTTGAAAAGCTTTACTGAGTCTACAGACTGATCTGCTTTCTTCCAATTTGTCCATCAACAAGCAATCTATTCTCTGGAGTACGCTCAGAAGTCAGTCTGACCTGGCAGCCATTGTGGTTTTTACTTTTTTGAGCATTTTTCTGTCACAGTTGGAGCGTCTGTGTGGTGAGAATGCGGGGGATGCAGGGGGAGGAGAGGTGAGGGGAGACGAGGTATGTTGGTTGTCTGTGGGGGTTGTGTGAGGCGCACAATGCCCCTCTGTGAGTTAGGATGGCAGGCAGGTGATGTCATGGCTGGCGAGACCCAAAGCCCACTGAGCTTGTGAAGGCGTGACATGATTGGGACACAGAGGAGGGTCGCTGACATTGTTGTATTGAATCAGGCTGTGACGGGGGGGCAGTGCTCCATCCTGCAGCCACAGAAACACAACCTGCCAATCATCCAGTTATGTTAAGTAAATCAACTTGTGTCAGCAGCTTGAAAATGATCTGTTTTTGGCACTTTGCCTTTATTGGACAGCCTGCAGTGTCAGGAGATACAGAGTGGGTAGACATGGAACAAAGGTGTGCAGGCAGAATTGAACCAGGGATGTTGTGGTTACACAGTATGATGCATGTCCGAAACCCTACGCTACCGGTCACCTCATAATGAAATGATCTTGATTTTGAGTGATACAGTATAATTACTTTAGATTAGAAAATTATAAATTAAAAGTTACCCTGCCGGCATGCAGTTGGCCTCCAACATGGTTAGACATTGATATTTATATTTGCTTGAATGTAGTTTGTGATGTTGGGCACCAAGATTCAGTGTCAGGGCAGCGTCTAATGCCAATGATAATTTATATAAATAGTGACATCTTGACATATGAAATATCTGCGATACGTCACAATGTCAGTTAGCATTTCAGACCAAAATGTGTCTGTCTGACATTAAAGTTGTTAGAGTCCAAAGTCTTTCTGACATTACATTGACGTCCGGTGCCTGTTGGGTAGACGGGTGCAGAAAGAGGGCTGCACTAAGGTTAAGGAATTTTACATAGAGCAGGGAATAATGTTGCCCACTAGTGCTTCTCAGTAAGTAGCTACTGAAAACTAAATCGTTATCTATCTCTTTCTTTTGCTTGTGCACATGTGCAATGTGCGTCGTCAGTAAATTTTCCGTTTCTTGACTTTTCAAATTTTTCCTCATCGCCATGTATTTGGTAGGTGCAAGTCCCTCCATTACGCTTGTCTTGTTAAAATTGTGTGACAGCATTGCAGCAAGTCGTAGCAATGTTTAGCTTACATACATTATTGCTTCCACTGCAATGTCATGAAGTTGAAATGACACAACTCTGCTGAGGGCTTTTAATTTGAAACAACAGATAAAACAGACGTGGCGACATATCCCTGAGGCAAGACGGGGGAGAGAGGGAAGAAAGAGGGGGAAAAAAAGAGATTTAACTAGCTAACCTTAAGTTTGATTTTTATTACCTTTTCATTTTCACTCCGACCACTGGCGTACTACGCCTGCTCCACCAAGGTACAACAAAACACTTCATACATGGACCAGCCGTCGGGCATACTGGGACAAATGCCAGTGGGCCGTCAAATAATCCATAAAATTATTACTGGCCTTGTTCGTCAGTCTCTCTACTAACCCTCTCTGTGTGTCTTGTTTGGGGTGCACATGAGAACGTGCGGCGTGCATGGTTGCAGACTGGGCTCACCGACGTAGTGTTGCTGGAGCACACTGGAACGATGTGCATCACTTTTTTTCTTGAAGTTAGGAAACCAAATATTCTTTTAATTTAATTTATGAATTAAACTATTGTTCTTTTCAGTCATCGTTAAATAATAGATTAATAGGTAGATGAAAAGGCAGCAAAACATCCTTTCATTCATCATTCATCAGCAGCTTTTTCGTAGCCTAACCTATTAGATGAGCTTGACCTCTGACTGCTATGCAAATTTTCCTGAGAATGGATGATTCAAATGTGGCTTCATTTGCTCAGCACATGTAAATAAATGAAATTATTCAAAACACAAACTTCCTGTTTTTATTTACCTACATTTGCCTAATGCCACTCTATTTACACCCTTCTACATCCATGGTATTGTATAATACTACTTAGCTAGATGTTTGGCTGAGTGCTGCATAATAAATAATAATGACGAAACTGTTCATAAAGTCTAACTTTTGATCGTGTTGTCAGTTATAGTCGACTAATGTATGAGTAATTGCCACCGTAGGAAAAGTGGTTACATAACCTTTGAAATGAGCCACAGTTTAACCCACATCCCACACTCCAGCCCGCTGGGGCTGATTCTGCTGCTGCTGAAAAAAATCCTAGGGGAAACAATGTGTAGGATGTGTTTTTGTTTAACGAGAGATATGGTCATTGGGACTGAGGACTCCAAAAATCTGTATTGACCTTTAAAGCATGTGGATGATTGAGAGTGTTTCTGGTTGGTGATATGTGTGTGCACGATACCATGAACTGACCGAGGGGTTACAAGTGCAGCTAAAAACACATTTAGAACCGACGAGATTATCAGCAAGTGTTTTTAAAATGCCTTTTAGCCGAACAAAGAGGCGCCAATCCTTCATATGTGGCATTTGCCAGAATGTTATTGGCAGAGCGGTGTTTATCGACTGAACGCTGTTTCCAAGTAGAATGTGATTGAAGAGGAGAGAAAGGCTTCTTTTCAGTGCGAGCCTCGTGAGTGTCGTGTAAACACACTGAGAGAGGCTCCTTTCATTAGCTATGCTAATCTGGAGTGCACGTGACTTGCCGCAGACTCCATGGTCCCTCTTGGCTCTGCCTCTCTTAGTTTCTGTCTCCTAAGGCCACGGTGCCATCTTCTTCTTTCTGGTTCATTGGGTTAATTTGCCGTGTGTTATGTTCCCCTTTTCTTATATGTTAGACTGACAGAAACATAGGTCCGACCAGCGGTGAATCTGCTCCTTTCCTCGTATTACCTTATGCTTTTGTCTGGTACCTCTCAGCCGTGCAACCACCCAAACTGGCAGCTGTAGTAGACTGAGAGCTTTGACTGTGTCTCCTCTATCACAAGGCAATGGATCTCTACCAAACCTAAAGAAAAAAAGTATGTATGGTAATTCTGAAGCTACTGCCAGCAGCCAGCATGAAGACTGGAAACAGGGGGAAACAGCTAGCCTTGCTCTGACCAAAGGTAACAAAATACCAGCCCGCCTAATGCTCACAAATTAACATGTTATATCTCCTTCGTTTAATTTGTACAAACTGAAGTATAAAAATGGGCTAATGTGCTAAATTGCTTCTTGGCTGGGAGCATTTGCTAGGCAACCAGTGGAGAGTACAGGAAGTAACTGGCACCAACCAAGAAATCGTGATATTCATTTGTGAGCTTTAGAGGTGCAGGTAGGTGGATTTGCTGGACAGAGGTGAGCTGCCTCCCCCCATTTCCGGTCTTTGTGTTTAGCTAAGTTAAACAGCTGCTGGCACCGTAATAATGATATTGATCTTCTAAGTGAATGAGCATATTTCCCAAAATGTTGAACTTTTCCCCTAACATGACTAACATTTAAAACTTTTACTAATTTCACTTTGTCATGTCTTAATTTGTGTCTTCTTTTGTGTGTGAAGCTTCCATTGCAGTTATTGCAATTACTGTTTATTTGTTGAGTATTTTGATCGAGTATTGTTTCTTCTATTGAATACTGATGTATCTTTTTTCATTTAACATCCCATTTTTTACAGCAGCACTGGCTCTATTTCAGGAGCTGGGTATTAGGGGGTAATTACTACATGTTAGATTATGTCATTTACTCAGAGAAGATGAGGAGTAGAGAATGAGTCACCTCCATCAATTAATTTGATATATGAGTCGATAAGGGATATGGGTGGGATATTTGCTACATCTCTGCAAGTCACCAGGTCATAATTTGAAATTCCCTTCAAGGTCTCCCTCTTTTTTTTTTAATGAAGCTGCCGATTAAAAGTGGTGTTTCTTACACATGTAATTATTTCCTTATTGATTTGTCAGCATCTTAGGGAACGGTTTCTCATGAAATATATCCCCCGCTATGATAACTCGTCTCAATTGCAATCATGAGAGAAAATCATTACAAGAAAGGTCCCCCAGGGGAATGTGGAAACTGTTATGTTGATGTGAGTGTCCAAGTAAATGTGTGTGCACGCGCGCATGTGGGCGTGTAAATGTTTGTGCAGTAGTGTGTGTGCTTGCTTGCTGTAGTGTTGGGCTGTTACAGAACATCCCTCCCCACTGACACTTACTCTTGTCTAGCAGAAACAAGGAGGCACTTGATCTCGTGTACAAGCGGTGACTGATGGCTCTTTTTCTCTTTCTCCTCTGCCTTCCCTCCTCTCCCTCCTTCTCCTTTATCTTTTCAGGCTGTGAGGAAGGGGGGGAAGATGAGACCTCCCAGCCCTCTTCTGATCCTGCTGTACATCACGCTGTCCAAGAGTGTGAAGGTGGTCTCTAAGAGAGGCTCAGGTATTTCACGCACTGCATCCTCCTGCTTCCTATGTGGCTTCCAGTGTGAAGCCTGTACATGTCCCTCCTGTACATTCATGTATGTCAGTGACTGTTTTTATGCACTTGTGAGTGTGTTCTAGTGTTTTCCTATTCACACCATGGTAGCTGCCAACCGTCAATGGCTGGCGCTGTTGTTGATGTAATTTGGGGACTTCTGGTGAATTTTACTGAGGCAATTTAATCGTTTTTGTGCCGTTGTTTTGTGAACTTCTGTCGGCACTAAATGTTAATCGCCTAGAACTTATGTTGCCATCATTGTCACTGTTGGATTGTTAAGCTGGTGAAAAATCTTTAATTATTCTCTAGGCCTCTGGTGCGACTGGAAAACAGTGGTGTGTATGATGTGTGTGCGTTCCAGTGTGTGCTTTAAAAAAGTTTGTTGAGACAGATGATAGACAGGTAATTGCAAAAAATGATGCCCTTCCCACTTGTGTGTGAGAATGACTCACAGAAAAATATAAGCACCGCTGAACAATTTAGCTGTAAGTGCTGTGCGTGGCCTGCGTCTCAGGTGAAGAGAATTTGAATTAATGAAAAGATATACAATGTACTTCTTAGAATTAGCTAGACCTGCCTCAATCTAGGGAGAGTGACAGCTACCAAATGATCCAGTTTCTCAGTGACTGGTTCACTAAGGGTTAATGTGAAACTCATTTTGGCTCTAAATGCCAGCAAATTGAACATCAATTGTGAACGAATGCAAAGGTCAAAAGAGAAAATGGAGAGCAAAAAGATTGAAGGTAGAAACTTTTCATGACAGGAATACAGAGGGATTCAAGGAGTCAGTTCAGACACTGTGAAGACAAACGGCCATTACAGAGAATATATGTTGCCATTTTGTGCATTCAATATTCACAAATTATTTTCTTTTATATTTAACACAAATCATATGCCAGTCTTTTGATCATGAGACATATTCATTCTAAAATTCATTGCTTGCACACTATGCACTCCATTTATGGTCAAAAAGATTTTTTAGCTTGTACAGTGACGTTCACAAATAATTCCAAAGTTTGTAGTTGTAAAACAATCTTCTTTTATAATCACCTGTGTACAGATACAAAGCAGAAAACTGCGTGTAAAACTCAGAGCTCAAAGTTGAAGTTTCAAGAATGGATTTTGACCCTGTTTTTACGCCTGAATCTAATTGGACAATGACTGTCCAATCACAAAGCAGAGTCCAATCAGAGGGCAGGTAGTTCCATTACCTTCATCTCTGCTATAGGTCATGAAAGGTGTAGTATATTTTATTATGTTAGACCCAGGTGGATTTGCATACACAGCACATTTAATGTTTACCATTATTTTCAATAGCATTGTCAAATATAAATAAACCCACCTAGATTGCGGAAGAGCTGTATACCAATAGCATACAGGAACATTTATTTTGTGTGTGTGCGTGTGTGCGTGCGTGTGTGTGCGTGTGTCTGTGTGTGTGTGCGTGCGTGCGTGTGTGCTCCTAACATGCTAGGATTTATGTCTTTCAGTGTGTCTGGGTGTGTTTGTACTGCAGACATGAGTCTGAAGCTTTAAGGACTGACCTTTAGCTAAAGGTTTTATATTGAAGGAAGCAAACTCACTAGACAAGAGCAGAAGGGTAACATATCAATGAATTATGTGCTTCAACCAGCAAAGAGGATGGTCACTGACACAGAATACAGACACACTCAACCATACACCTACTAAAATGAAAAAAAAAAAAAAACATACTCAGGAAACAAACTTGAAAACACACAAACCACAGCTTTAAGAGGTTAAAGGTGTTAAAGACGTGGTCACACCAAAAAGGTGGCACAGCAACTTTCATGTGTGTGATTTTAAAAGCTTGCTGATGTATAGTATTTGCGGGGCTAAATGGCAAGTTGGGTAATTGCCAACATGCTCACCCAGCCAGACTAGCATTAGCCAATAACGATATTTTCATATTTTCTCTGTACTGAGCTGCTCATTCCCTCCCAATCGTTTTCTTCTCAGGACTGCACATCATTTCATCCAATAAAGACTTACTGAAGGGGGAAAAAAGCTCTCCAAACTAACAAGCCTTCTAACTGTCAGTAAGTTGATGGCACAATAAGTTCACACGATGTATTTGTGCCCTCAACTCCTGTCTCATAACTGCCTGTAAGCCCATTTCTCTTCATTGGAGCAGTTTTTTTTTGTGGAGAGTTAATATTCTGACAGTGGAAGTTAAATAAAGCTGGGTGGTGCAACCAAGATAATAGGCTATGATAGTGTCCTCCATTTTGGCTCCATGTTCTCTCAAACATCAGCACTGTTAAGGCAGCTTGCTATTGGTCAATACAGCAAATTCGTGTGTCTAAGTTTAACTTGACACAAGGGAACAGGCTTTTTTGGTACGTGACCCAACAGAAATCACATCATCATTTTATTTTTTTTTCAATGAAAATTAAATGCAAAAATTACCATTCCAACTGAAATTATCACTCATATCACAACCGCAATATCTGCCAAAATAATTGCATAATGAGTTTTTTTTTGCATATCTTTCAGCCCTACTGGACAGCAGCACAAATGGCATTAATCTATCAGGCAAACCTAGGGCAGCAGACTGCCACATATGAAGGCTATAAGAGGAAACATCTTGACTTCTGTTTTCTGTCTTCACGTGACTGAGCAGAAGAAGGGAGCTAATACTGAGCATAATTAATAAGACAAGAGTAATTGATTGTCTTTTTGCTGTTTGTGGATGTCCCTTTTGAATCTACCTGTAGGCTAGTTGTTAACTGAATTGCTGGCCATCGTGTATGAATTATGCATCATATTGACAGAGCTGAGCTGAGAACAATAGCACAAGGTCTCATGACAAATGGAGTGGACAAATTGCTCGTGCCATTTGCTGTGACACACATTAACATCAAAGCTCCGTCCCATGCCCCAGCAGACAATTACCATTGAGCGGGCCAGCATTCGGTCATTTCACAAGGCGTGGTCGACAGTAACATTACGTTTTTGCATATAAACGTTGAACAACCTGGCAAAGTCTGTGATGCTCATGTTTTTTGCTCTTTCATCGCTACATGATCGAAACCAGCACAACAAGAAACATATGAGGAGTAGATGTGCTGCTGGTCATCCTGGGTGATTTAGCCCATCCATTACTCCTCTGGCATATGAAGCCATTTTCAGAAACCAGAGGGGCAACGGTTGCACAGCTCAACATTAATTATTGGTCGACTGTAGAGAGGGGGCTCCGGGCACCTCAGAGGGTGATGGAGGGAGAGTCTGAAACAAAATGAGACAGACATTACCCTTGTCTGACGCATTGTCTCTACCTGCTGTGTATCGCGTGACTTTTCTGAGGATCACAATCCAACGAGGGAGACAATGACAAAGATGATGAAGATGACGGCATTGTGCGCCTAATTTTTAAGGATATAGCTTAGTAATGTAAGGATTCATCAATGGAACAATCTTTTATTGTACTGCTGACTGCATTGGCTAGAGGCAGTCACACATTTAATTGTGTTACACATCCACCGGTTGGTAGCTATGGGTTTTACAGATGCTGCCTCAACACTGGTTGTACTGGTCCAATTATTAAGTGTCTAGCTATTTCCAAATTGTAGAAATACTGGTTTGTGTTAGTGTTATGTAATGTGGATGACACTGACGGGTTGCCATGTCAGCGTTGTTTTTGGAGCCACTTCAGTGTGGGTGGTTGCATGAGCTGTTGAGACACGGGGATTGTAGACATCATTCCTTGGGCCATAGGTGACATGGTCTGCTGTGGCACAGGTGAGTGATGCATTGTGTGTTCTGTTGTTGACCAGCACACAGAGCAGTGAGAGCAGTGCCTATTAGCTGAGAGTTTGCTTGTTGCTTGGCTTGCATAGACTGGACTCTCCTTTCCTCTGTCTGCTGGCGTGCCCTCAGCAGTCTGTCAGTGGCATCATATTCCTGTTTTTGATGTTTCTGCTCAGCTTCGTACATTTCCTCTAGCTTCCTTTTCTGCTGAGCCAAGTAAGCCTAAAGTCTACTACCCACTACACTAGTTGGGGGTTTGCATTTCTTTGCTTGAGCCCCAGGAATGACCAGCCTTTCACTGATGCCTTGACTCTGCCCTTTATGGCCCTTGCTGCTTGTATTCTGTGGAGCATCAATGTACTCTTTATCAGAGGACGTGTCCTGAGCCGTAGCAGTTGGCTCACCTGCTTCTTTATATTTAGGTGTGTTGTTGGAAGTTCCCCTGTACAGAAAAAAATAACAGTTCTCTGAACAATGAGATGCATTGTTAATGAATATATTTTTTGCCTATTTCCAAACATTAAGTTAATGTTCAGGCCAATGGTAAGAAAGCACCTACAAAACAGAGCAAAGAAATCAATCAATGAAAATAGTCTTATTCTGTGAATATATAAGAAGTTTATAATTATAGAATGATTAGCACAATTAAAATAAGTAAATTAATAAAGTAAGTGTTATACATGGAATGATAATCCTATTTGTTCTCTGGGTCATGCCTAACCAGTGGTCTTAACTACAACACTAAAACCGAAGTTTATTAGTCCCGTACAGAGAAGCTGCAGTTGCCATAACCACCCCTGCTGCTGCATTCATTGTATAATTGATATAATGAAACACTTACGTGTGCATAATTAGAATTGTGGTCATCAAACTATTTATATCAAATAAGCACTCGCCGTTTAGCTATAAATCTCCAGTGTAACTGGGAACACCGACAGGAGTCAAGGACGGAGTCTGTGAGGAAACATTACTGTCATAGGATTAGACAAGGTCCCCTGGACAAACTGTTGGTCTCGTCCCAAGGATTCGGCCCAGCTCTTCAAATGTGGGAATTTTTCTTTCCTTTCTCCCAATCTTCCACTTTTGTATGTAAGTACTGTTACCACGGTTTCTTTACTTTAAGGCAGTGGATCAGTGAAATCCCCTCTCCTTTAGCTGCTAACTGAACATTTTGAACACTTAAAAGTTCTTAT